GGGTTGATTTGGGGGGGGGGGTGTCCTTCGGTGTTCTCTGAGCTTGGCGATTTTCTTGCAGATGTTTCATTACCCAATTAAGTAACTTCATCAGTGTGAAGGGAGTGGAGTTTGAGGGGAGGAGGAGGAGGAGGAAACAGAAGAAAGCAGGAGGAGGAGGAGGAAGAAGAGGAGGAGGAGGAGGAGGAGGAGGAGGAGAAACAGAAGGTAGCAGGAGATGTGGAAGAGGAGGAGAAGGAAAAGAAGAAGGAGGAGGAGGAGGAGGAGGAGGGGGAGGAGGAGGGGAAGAAAGAGGAGGAGGAGGAGGAGGAAAAGAAAGAGGAGGAGAAAAAAGGGGAGGAGAAGAAAGAGGAGGAAGAGGAGGAGGAGGGAAAGAAAGAGGAGGAGGAGGAGAAGGAAAAGAAGAAAGAGAAGGAGGAGAAAAAAGAGGAGAAGGAGAAGAAAGAGGAAGAGGTAGAAGAGGAGAAGGAAAAGAAGAAGGAGGAGAAGAAGGAGAAGAAAGGAGGAGGGGAAGAAAGAGGAGGAGATGAAAAGAAAGAAAAAAGAGAAGGAGGGGAAGAAAGAGGAGGAAGAGGAGGAGGAGAAGGAAAAGAAGAAGGAAGAGTAAGGAGAAGAAAGAGGAGGAGGGGAAGAAGGAGGAGGATGAAAAGAAAGAGGAGGAGAAAAGAGGAGGAGGAGGAGAAGAAAGAGGAGGAAGAGGAGGAGGAGGGAAGAGAGGAGGAGGAGAAGGAAAAGAAGAAAGAAGGAGGAGAAAAAAGAGGAGAAGGAAAAGAAGAAGAAGGAGAAAAAGAGGAGGAGGAGGAGAAAGAGGAGGAGATAGAAGAGGAGGAGAAGGAAAAGAAGAAGGAGGAGAAGAAAGGAAGAGGGGAAGAAAGGAGGAGGATGAAAAGAAGAAAGGAGGAGAAAAAAGGAGAAGGAGGGGAAGAAAGAGGAGGAAGAGGAGGAGAAGGAAAAGGAAGAGAAGGAGGAGAAGAAAGAGGAGGAGGGGAAGAAAGAGGAGGAGGATGAAAAGAAGAAAGAGGAAGAGAAAAAAGAGTAGAAGGAGGGGAAGAAAAAGGAGGAGGAGGAAGGGTGTTAGCTGCTCTTTGAACGAGGTTCTTTTCTTGTAGGCCTTTCATTACCAAACTAGATAACATCATCAGTGCTAGACAGGAGTGGGTTTTGATCTAATTCCATACTTTACAAAAAGTCATTTATGGGGATATGTGGATTGTGAGCCTGAGATGCAAGCATCATTCACAACCATTACTTGGCCTTTTTTTCCCCCTAACATTCTTAACACCTGAAGACACCCATTAACAGAATAACAAAATAACAGAGTTGGAAGGGACCTTGGAGGTCTTCTAGTCCAACCCCCTACTCAGGCAGGAAACCCTATATACCCTTTCAGACAAATTAAAGACATAGCAAGGACCCCCATTGCCATTAGTGGCTGATTGTGTCTTCGTAGCAATCCTCAGGGTCTCTCTGCTGGGAAAGTAAAATACTAAAAGTGCCTGGCCACCCTTACCATTAGTGTAACTCTAGCATAATAGTGGTTAGAAGACTTCAGAAGACCAGTTTAAGTTATGTAAGAAGAACATTCGGGTTTGTTCTGAGTCGGGTTCCAATGAGCACGCAGGAGGGTATTTATTTATTTATATTTATTTATATTTAAATTTATATACCGCCCGTCTCCCGAAGGACTCAGGGCGGTGAACAGCCAAAGGTGAGCCTTGGTAGTACAGTGGTTTAATGCACCCTGTTATTAACACAGCTGCCTGCAATTACTGCAGGTTCGAATCTCGCCAGGCTCAAGGTTGACTCAGCCTTCCATCCTTTCTAAGGTAGGTAAATTGAGGACCCAGTTTGTGGGGGCAATAAGCTGACTTTGTATAAAATATACAAAAGGATGAAGGCTATTGCTTAGCGCATTGTAAGCCGCCCTGAGTCTCCGGAGAAGGGCGGCATATAAATCAAAAAATTTTTTTAAAAAAAGGTAAAAAACATAAAAATACAGGTAGGTTTATTCAACACTGTAGCAGTCAGAGGTAGCTACGCGTTAAAAAGACAGAGAGTGATATTTATAGGAAAATCTATTCTTCGTTTAGGAAGTGTGTAAACATGCTCATGTATTTGTGGGGGGGGGACCCAGTTTTCTTACCCTGCAGCAGGGGTGAAATGCTCCCGGTTCGGACCGGATCGCTCAATCCGGGTGGTGGCGGGTGGTTCGGAGAACCGGTAGCAAAAATCCCTGCGCCCCACCCCCCCATGCCCAGCTGAGCTGCGCGATCATCAGAGGCTTTTTATTTTTAACTGTTAAAAGCATTTTTTCTACAACCTCATGGCTGAAAAAAATGCTTTTAAAAGTAAAAAAAAAAAGCCTCTGATGATCGCGCGGCTCAGCTGGGATCGTCAGAGGATTACCCCCCCACTCCCAACCAAGCCACGCCCACAGAACTGGTAGTAACCTTGATAGAGCCTTGATAGTACAGTGGTCTATGCACCCTGTTATTAACACAGCTGCCTGCAATTACTGCAGGTTCGAATCTCTCCAAGGCTCAAGGTTGACTCAGCCTTCCATCCTTTCTAAGGTAGGTGAAATGAGGACCCAGTTTGTGGGGGCAATAAGCTGACTTTGTATAAATATACAAAAGGATGAAGGCTATTGCTTAACGCACTGTAAGCCGCCCTGAGTCTCCGGAGAAGGGTGGCATATAAATCAAATAAAAAAAAAAAAAGTAACAAATTGTACATTTCACCACTGCCTGCAGGGTATGATAATCTTTGCTCCTTCTGTATCAGGGGTGAAATCCAGCAGGTTCTGACAGGTTCTGGAGAACTGGTAGCGGAAATTTTGAGTAGTTCAGAGAACCGGCGAATACCACCTCTGGCTGGCCCCAGAGTGGGGAGGGAATGGGGATTTTGCAATACCCTTCCCCTGGAGTGGGGTGGGAATGGAGATTTTGCAGTATCCTTCCCCTGCCATGCCCACCAAGCCACACCCACAGAACCGGTAGTAAAAAAAAAAATTGGATTTCACCGCTGTTTCTGTATGTCCAGGTGTTGGGTCATACTGGAAAATTGACAGAAATGCTAGAAGGAGGAGTCAAATGAGGATGTAGTTTGGAGTCCTTGTGGAACATAAGTTTGATTTCCTCCAAAATCCATGAAACCTTATCTGGTCATTCCCACGGGAAGGGAAACAATCTGGGGAGGGTGTTGTAACAGTTAGAGTAACTGTGGCTATTTATAAGAGACGACGGTTGCTTTTTCCTGACAGGAGATGAGTCTGGTGTCGGGCGAATCGCATTGTATGGACAAAGGATTTCCATATTTTGAGATTTTATTTGGTTACGATTGAGTTTTTGCCAAGTTCCTAACAGGAGACATACAATTAATTTTAGCCTAGGGGCCTATATAGGTAGTCCTCGACTTACAACAGCTTGTTTAGTGATTGTTGAAAGTTACAACAGCACAGAAAAAAGTAACTTATGACCATTGTTCACACTTAACGACCGTTGGAGCAGCCCCATGGTCACATGATCAAAATTCAGATACTTGGCAACTGCTTCATACTTACGACCGTTGCAGTGCCACGGGGACATGTGATCTACCTTTTCATTTTTCATTTTTCATTTTATTAAATTTGCATACCACCCTACTCCCGAAGGACTCAGGGCGGTGAACAGCCATAGAATAAAACATATAAATACAAAATTTAAAATAGAATAAAATAGAATAAAATGTTGCGGCCTTCTGACTAGCAAAATCAATGGGGGGGGCAGATTCACTTAACAACCATGTTCCTAACTTAACAATGGCAGCGATTCACTTAACGACAATGGCAAGAAAGTTCGTAAAACGGGGCAAACTCGCTTAGCACTTGTCTCGCTTAGCAACAGAAATGTTGGGCTCAGTTGTGGTCATAAGTTGAGGACTACCTGTATTTGGTTATGACTGAGTTGCCGGTATTTGCCAAAAATTGCTTAATCTGTTTTAGCTTCGGTGTCTATATGGGCCGAAAGGCTTAAAGGAACTTTTGTTTAATAGTTTGTGGGATCACAACAGTGGTGGTCAGAATCTGTGAGTGGAGTAGATCCCAGAGATCCTTTTTTTTTTTTTAGGGAGGCAACTGGACTTTCTTGGGTTTGTTTTCCTTTTGAAGACATTTCACTTCTCATCCCAGAAGCTTCCTCAGTTCTGTTGAAGCCGAAGAAGCTTCTTGGATGAGAAGCGAAACATCTTCAAAAGAAAAAGAAAAAAACAAGAAAATCATAAAAAAAAAAGGCAACTTTGGGTGGGACAACCATGAAACTGGATGACGGAGAATCTCTTTAACAGAGTGGAGTAGATGAGAAGGAGAGGAGAGGGGTGTGGCACATGGGCTTTTTGGTCTCACAGTTGCTAAGGAAGGGATCAGTGGTGAAATGTAAATTTTGTTAGTACTGGTTCTGTGGGCTTGGTGGTGGTGGGGGTAATATGACTGAGTGGGTGTGGCCAACTTTTTTCTTTTTCTTTTTACTTTTAAAACCATTTTTTCTACAAATGAAAAAACAAATGCTTTTAAAGCCTCTGACGATTGCAGCTGACTTGCCTGATCGCCAGAAGCTTTTCCTTTTTTGCTTTTTAAAAACATTTTTTTTATAATCTCTTCGGCCAAAGAGGTTGTAGAAAAAATGCTTTTAAAAATTAAAAAAAAAAGCCTCTGATGATTGCGCGGCTCAGCTGGGCAATGGGGGGGGGGCCAGGGATTTTTGCTACCGGTTCTCCGAACCACCCGCCTCCATCGCTACCGGATTGGGCGATCCGGTCCGAACCGGGAGCATTTCACCCCTGGAAGGGATGCAAGAGGAGAGGTTGAGCTCCAAAGACAGAAGGAAGAGATGCATCCTGACCACAGACGGAGGACCAACTGATGCTAGGGATGACTTTATAGGGCTCGGTGGGCTGCCATTGGCTGCCGTATCAACTGACAGAACGTTCAGGTGGTCAGGCCACGCCCACAATAAACTCCCACCTCCGCTTTCCTTCTGCACCCAACACACAGGAGACAATCCAGATGCGCAGATCCAGATGTTCAACTCCGTTGCTGGCAACCACACGCCCGCTAACCTTCTGCCAGCTGAACGAGGCCGCCGTCGGAGGGGCTCTGGCCGGGATGGTGCCCATCGAAGTGAGGCTCGTCCACTACGTGGGCGGGTTCAGCGAAGACGCCTTTAAAATAGCAAGTCTCCCAAAATCCATGTTACTAAACGCTTTCGTGTTCCCGAAGCTGCAGGCGGTCCTCGACTTACGACCGTTCGTTTTTAGTGACCGTTCGAAGTTACAAAACGGAGACTGAAAAAAAGACCCGGTTTTTCACATTTTAGGACCGTTGCAGAATCCCCGTGGTCATGTGATTATCAAAATCCAGACGTTTGGCAAGTGGTTCATACTTATGACGGTTGCGTGTGGTCCCTTTTGGCGACAAAAGGCAAAATCAATGGGGAATTCCGGATTCCCTTAACAATCGTGTTACTACTCACTTAACAGCTGCAGGGATTTAATTTAACACCTGTGGCAAGGAAAGTTGTCAAACAGGGCAAAATTTGCTTAACAACTGTATCGCTTAGCAATGGGAATGTTGGGCTCAATTGCGGTCGTACGTCGAGGACTAACCTGTATTTGATCATATGCTTCCTTAGCGCCATTTAGTCAAAAGTTCTTCGTAAGCGATGAAGCCAGTGGAAACTGTTACTAACAAAACAAGAGAACTAAATTGAATCTCCATTTTCAAGAGCAGTATATCACTCAACAAGGGGAGAAATTCCGTTCCAATTTTTTTTAATTGTTATGTTTTTTTCAGTAGTCGGTGGTTATACAGTAGTGGCCAAAATTATGGAAACCTTTTGGGGAAAGTGTATTTTTGAGGTTTGATGGCTAATAATAACCACTTTTTGGGGGGGAGTTTCAAGATAATCCTATTCCACTGCTGGCATGGCCTGGGAATAGCCCAGATCTTCACCCAACTGAAAATCTAGGGAGCCGACTAAAGAAACTTTTTAGTCAGAAGCGACCCAGCAATAAAACCCAGTTAATAGAAGCCATCCTTCAATCTTGGTTTCACATGATAACAGCTGTAGAACTAAAAGACTTGGTTCGCTCCATGGGAAGGTGTTGTAAGGCCGTCATTCATGCTAAAGGTTACCCAATTAAGTATTAACTGATATGGGGATAATTTTTGTATATCTCGTTTTTTCTACGTGTTTCACTTTTCTTCTTTATACTGTAACTGCTATTCTAACAGCAAATCCTTCATAAAAGTTACTGCATTACATTCTTGATTAAATTATCTTTCCATCGATATATAATTTTATGGTACTACTCCAAAAAAAAAAGTGGTGGTATTAGACAAGTTTTAGAAAATACCTTCTTCCCAAAAGGTTTCCACAATTTTGGCCACTAGTGTATATCTGTTTTCTTTTGATGCTCACAAATAACGAGATGTGTTCTTAGATATAAGCTGTATGAAGTGGTAATATTCCTGCCTTAGTTGTTTAAATCTGATAACTCTGATGGACTTTCTAATCAGCTGGTGAAAGTATTTATTCTCCACAGAATTGGCTAAGCTATGTCTGTCTGTTATCTTTATGAACCTTTATTTATAAAATAGTTATTGTATGATGTTTAACTTTTTAATTGTTACCTCAACTGGGGATGAAAAACAGAATAACAGATCTGGAAGGGACCTTTGAGGTCTTCTAGTCCAACCCCTTACTCCAGCAGGAGACCTTATACCAGTGATGGCTAACCTTTTTGACATCGCGTGCCAGGAAGGGGGGAGCGGGGGAGGTTCACGCATGCGCGTGCCCACACCCATAATTCTATGCGCCCCGCCCTGCGCATGCCTGCCCAATCCCCCCTCCCCCTTTGCTCCTGGCCCGTTTTTCTTTGTCACCTGGCTCCAGATCCTCTCTATGCATCTGGGGAGGGTGAAAACAGCCTTCCCCACCTACCCCCAGGCCCTCCGGAGGCAGAAAACAGCCTGTTTCCCTACTTCTGGTGGGCCCAAAAGGCCTGAAAATCAGATGGCCGACACGCACATGCGCGCCAGAGCTGAGCTGGCATGCCCACTGATATGGCACCCACAACTTCTGGAGGCAAGTCGTTCCACTGATTAATTGTTCTAACTGTCAGGACAAGTACTTGGATGACAAAATAAGCATTTTTACCTCCAAAGCATATGAATAAGCAAATATATAGTTTTATACAGAATTTTCCCCATTTCTACATCTTTGCAGTGTAATGTAAGCTATCCTTCTGGTTTTTTTTTTTTAATGAATGTTTTGCCTAAATCTTACGTATTTTCATGTAAAATGCTTTGGTTTAATGTACACGCTTCCAGGCTTAATTTAAAAAATAAATAAATAAAAATTGGAAAACTACATTGCAACACTCAAAGAATTGCAAATTTCAACTGTGCTTCAGTTCACATATTGATTCGAATGCAAAATATGTTAATATTTAAATGAAAAGTGAACTGATTTCTCTCTATCTTCTCCCAGTGAATTATTGAAGGTTGGTGACAAGTTAGGAGGATCTTAAACGTTATTCCTCATTGCGGGTTGTTTTTAAATGGCCTCTGGATTACCTAAACTTTCAATGGCCCCATCAGAATCCATTTAAAACATGGTTTCTCAACCTTAGCAATTTTACGATGTGTGGACTTCAACTCCCAGAATTCCCTACCAAACATACTTCAAGGTGTGTGGACTTCAGCTCCCAGAATTCCACAGCCATCATGTTTTAAAGATGGATGGATTTCAGCTCTCAGAATTCTCAAGCTAGCTTGCTTTATGATGGGTGGGTGGACTTCAACTCCCAGAATTCCACAGCCAGCATTAAGCCTAATCATACTGACTAGGGAATTCTGGGAGTTGAAGTCCACATGTCTTAAAATTGCCTCGGTTCAGAAACAGGGGTCTATAACAGGGGTCTCCGACCTTGACAACTTTAAGCCTGGAGGACTTCAACTCCCAGAATCCCAGAGCCACCATGTTTTAAGATGGCTGGGGAATTCTGGGAGTTGAAGTTCTCCAGGCTTTAAGTTGCCAAGGTTGGAGACCCCGGTCTATAATAATGAGGAAGTCTCCTTTATGACTCCTGGAACTTATTCATGTAATAAATGTAATAAATGTAAATAAAGCATGACTCCTGGAACTTATTCATGTAATAGTGTTAGCAGAAACTATTTATTATTTCTTTTTTTTCCCCCAACTTCTCTGCATCTTCTCTTGCATTCCAGTGCAAGGAATACTTGAGACCTTTTAAAAAAACCCTCCAGAGGCTGAATTTGCCGAAAGATTACCCAAAGGAAAGGAAGCTAATCTGCACCAGAAAAAATCTCAATATCCTTGGGGATCATATCAATATGTTTCTTCTGTATTACTGCAAATCCTGGGAGCTGAAACACTGGAAAAAGTAAGGAAATTACGTTTTCTTTGTAGAAATTGTTAGCTGTAAAATCAAGTTTTTTAGTCCGGTGTGTGCCCTTTGCTAAAATAGGATCTGAGCCAGAAAAGTAGATTAATATCTCTTCGTTTGTGTAGAGGTGAAGCATAGGTCTCCTACAGATTCAAGGTGAGAAGACTTTTAGAAAAGTTAAAGATATTCCTCTTTGTGGGTTGAAGTGGCCTCAAAACCAAACCTTTAAATGGCCCCATCAACCTTAGCAATTTTACGGTGTGTGGACTTCAACTCCCAGAATTCCTTATCCACCATATTTTAAGGTGTTTGGACTTCAACTCCCAGAATTCCAGAGAAATCACTTTATATACCACTGTTTCTCAACTTTGGCCACTTGGAGATGCCTGGACTTCAACTCCCAGAATTCCCCAGCCAGCCATGGTCCCAAGAGCCTTGGTACTACAGGGGTTTAAGGCACCCTGTTATTAAGCTTATTAAGACCAGCTGCCTGCAATTACTGCAGGGTTCGAATCTCGCCAAGGCTCAAGGTTGACTCAGCCTTCCATCCTTTCTAAGGTAGGTGAAATGAGGACCCAGTTTGTGGGGGCAATAAGCTGACTTTGTATAAATATACAAAAGGATGAAGGCTATTGCTGAGCACATTGTAAGCCGCCCTGAGTCTTCGGAGAAGGGCGGCATATAAATCAAATTAAAAAAAAAAAAAACTTTGTAAAAATTAGAACAATCTCACCAGGTGGGCCTGGTAGAATCTGGCTTCTGGTTCATTAGATAAACTCGGGGTTCAACACCTGTCAATGCTTCGAGGCAGAGATCGTTGGCACCAGCTGATGCCAGGCAGAGATAGTCCTCAACTTACGACCAGAATTGGGCCCAGAATTTTCATGGTTGAGCAAGGTTAAGTGAATCGATTTTATGACCTTTTTCGCCATGGTTGTTAAGAGAACCACTGCAGTGCTTACGTGGATCACAAACGTCATTAAGTGAATCCAGCTTCCCCCGTTGACATTGCTTGTCGGAAGCCAGCCACCCTGGAGCCCACAGTTTCTGTCGCTAAACAAGACAGTCGTTAAGTGAGTTTTTGCCCCATTTTGCAAACTTTTTTCGCCATCGTTAAGCAAATCACTACGGTTGTTAAGTGGATCATGCGGTCGTTAAGCGAATCGGGCTTCCCCCCAATTGACTTTGCTTGGCGGATGCCAGCTGGGAAGATCAAAAACGGCGATCCCATGACCCAAGATACTGCAACCGTCGTAAATATATGCCGGTTGCCAAGTGCTCAGTTTTGATCACATGACCCATGGAACAGAATAACAGAGTTGGAAGGGAGCTTGGAGGTCTTCTAGACCAACCCCCTGCCCAGGCAGGAAACCCTATACCATTTCAGACAAACGGTTGCCCAATCTCTTCTTAAAAACTTCCAGTGTTGGAGCATTCACAACTTCTGGAGGCAAGCTATGATGGTTGTAAGTGCAAGGCTCGGTCCTTTTTTGGGGGGACGGTCACTAAATGAACGGTCGTATGTCGAGGACTACCTGCAAAATGCTGTCCCTCCCCCGTTTCAGAATGCTCTGGAGGTTTGTCTCCCTTTTCTCAACCTTGGATGAGAAGCAGCTGTATAAACTGTACAGATACAGCAAGACAGACCAATTCACCAAATTCCTGGTAAGGATTATATTCTTATTATTCTGTTTTATTTTATATTATACATCCCCGGATCAAAAGAGGTCGGCAAGGCCACTCTAGGGGACACATCCGGCCTTGTCTTGTTTTCATCTCTTCCTTGGTTCACCAGTGGGGTCTCCAGGGGATTTCCCAAAAGCCAAATGGGAGGTGCCAAAGCCAATGCAACCGAAACCACACCCCTTTCAATGTGCATCACACCTGGGGGGGGGGGAAAGGGGAAGGGCTGCAGTCAGGTGCAGGTGGCCATTTTGACTTTTTTGACCCTGCCAGCAAGCCTAGGTAAAGGTTCCCCTCACACATCTGTGCTAGTTGTTCCTGACTCTAGGGGGCGGTGTTCATCTCCGTTTCAAAGCCGAAGAGCCAGCGCTGTCCGAAGACCCCTCCGTGGTCATGTGGCCGGCATGACTCAACGCCAAAGGCGCACGGAACGCTGTTCCCTTCCCACCAAAGGTGGTCCCTATTTTTCTACTTGCATTTTTTACCTGCTTTCGAACTGCTAGGTTGGCAGAAGCTGGGACAAGTCACGGGAGCTCACCCTGTTACGCGGCACTAGGGATTCGAACCGCCGAACTGCCGACCTTTCAATCGAAAAGCTCAGCGTCTTACCCACTGAGCCACCGTGTCTCTTACCAGCAAGCCTAGGGACACTCTTATCTTTTTCTCCCACGACTCAGGAAGTTTGATTTGGAACCATCCTTGATTCTTTCTAAAGAAGCACATTTAAGCTGTGCCAAGTTTAGTAAAATGCTTATTTAGTAAATTAATCTCCGGAGCTGAATGGGCTACTCTTTTATCGTATATCAAAGGGGCTCCTCCAAAACTGTGGGTTATTTCCCCCAAAGTGTAATTTCTGAGCTGAAGGAAGGAGATTCAACTTACGACTACAATTGAACCCAAAATTTCCATTGTTAAGCATGACAATTGTTAAGTCAAGTCAAGCAATGTCGGCTGGCGGCCCCCAGGGGGAGAGCCTTCTCTGTGGGGGCACCCGCCCTCTGGAACGAGCTACCTCCCGGAATACGGCTGATTCCGGATCTCCGCACTTTCTGTAAGGCCCTGAAGATGTTTTTATTTCAGCAAGCCGGCCTGGCCTGAATAGGTTTTATGGGTTAGTTTTTTAATTGTATAGCTAGGGGTTTTAAATTGGGAGGCTGTTTAATTTAATTTATTTTTAATTATCTTAACTTTTATATTGTATGTTATTTTAATTCTCGGCTGTTCACCGCCCTGAGTCCCTTCCGGGGGGAAGGGCGGGATATAAATTTAATAAATAAATAAATAAATAAATAAATAAATAAGTGAGTGAGTTTTGCCCCATTTTTACGACATTTCTGGCAACACTTGTCCAACGACTCATGTGATTGTTAAGTAAATCTGGCTTCCCCACTGAGTTTTGCCCCATTTTACAACCTTACTAGCAGTAGTTGTTAAATGAATCATCCGGTCGTTCAGTGAAATATAAATAATAAATAACTTTATTGTCATTGTACGTGTATACACAGTATACCCATACAACGAAATTCACTCAACACCCAAAGACCAGGTCCAACACACATAACAATCCCCAAACACACCCCCACCCACCACAATTTCCCACCCCTAAACCACCCAAACATCCACACAACAGACCAAGTCATGCTGTCCAACAGCTCACTGACGGTGGCCCTTTAGTTCATGGTTGAGTGCAATAATAGCTCTGGGATAAAAACTGTTCAGAAGATGTGTGGTCCGAGTTTGAATTGTTCTGTATCTTCTGCCAGAAGGCAACAGTCCAAAAAGATTGAATCCGGCTTCCCTACTGACTTTGCTTCTCAGAAGCTTCCTGGGAAGGTTGCAAGTGAGGATCACGTAACCCTAAGACACTTCAATCCAGGGGGGGTTCTAAATTTTTTTACTACTGGTTCTGTGGTCGTGGGTTATTTTGTGGGTGTGGCTTGGAGGTCATGTGACTAGGTGGGCGTGGCTAGCTGGTCAGTCATTTCTGGAAGGTCCTCGCACTTATGACCAGTCCTCGCACTTACGACCCGACTCATTTGTTTGCTTTTAACACTGATTCAGCTGTAGGGCGGCCCTTTGAAGCCCCGCGGCAAGAGTTTAAACAGTTTTTTTCCTCTAGCCATCAGCTGGGACTCAGGAGGCAGCAATAGATTGGGGGTGGGGCCAAATAAAAGGTAAGAATAATGTGGGGGGGTGGGAGGGCGGGGGAGGGAGAACCGTTCAGTGACGTCATATCGTCACCGCTACCGGCTCGGCGGAACCGAACAGGGAGGAACCCACCACTGCTTCAATCGATATAAATACAGGCTTGTGGCCAAGTGCCTGAATTTTGTAACCGTTGTAAGCCATGGTGGGATTCAAATAATTTAACAACCGGTTCTCTGCCCTAATGACTGGCTGGATGGGCGTGGCCAGGGTGGGCGTGGCCAGGGGCTGTGACAGGCAGCACTTGGCCTCCTGAACCGGCTGAATCCCACCACTAGTGAGGACCAGTCATAAGTCACGTTTTTCAGGACCAGTGGTGGGTTCCTCCCGATTCGGTCTGGTTCGGGCCGAGCCAGTAGCAGTGACGATATGACGTCATCGAACCAGTTCTCCCACTCCCCCACGTTATTCTTACCTTTTATTTGGCCCCACCCCCAATCTATTGCTGCCTCCTGAGTCCCAGCTGATGGCTAGAGGGAAAAAAACTGTTTAAACTCTTGCCGCGGGGCTTCAAAGGGCCGCCCTACAGCTGATCAGTGTTAAAAGCATACAAATGAGTCGGTTGTAAGTGCGAGGACTGGTCGTAAGTGCGAGGACCTTCCAGAAATGACTCTGACTGGCTAGCCACGCCACCTAGTCACATGACCTCCAAGCCACACCCCACAAAATAAGCCACGCCCACAGAACCGGTAGTAAAAAAATTTAGAACCCACCCCCTGTTCAGGACCGTTGTAGCTTTGAACAGTCGTGACCTGAAAGCTTCTAAGTCAAGAACTACCTGTACCAGGGGTGGGTTCTAAAAATTTTTAACTACCGGTTAAAAAAAAAATTAGAAGGCACTCCCCAAGTTCCTTCAAAGAGGTTCCCTGAGCTATGTTCTCTCGAAAACTGCTCCCCGTAACCCATCAGCCACTGCCCTCTGCCTCTCTTCTTGTGGTTGAATTTGCAGAAAGTCTACTGCCGTTTGGAGTATGCAGACATGGCCAACCTGCCCAGTAATAAAAAATGGGCAAAGCTGCGTGATAGGTGGAGGCTCGCCAGTTGTGGTGTAAAGATGCAAGAAGGATATTTGCACTCACTGCCCGAAAGCTGGGATTTTCCAGAAGGAAACGTGCCTACAGAAAGGTAAACAGGATAAGAAAACCGTTTGTCCAGTGGTTAAGGCATCAGGCTAGAAAGTGGGGAGATCATGAGTTCAAATCCTGCATTAAGCATGAAAGCCGGCTGAGTGACTTTGGGCCAATAATTGGAAGACCGTGAATTCTAGTTCCGTTTTAAGAATGAAAGCCGACTGGGTGACTTTGGGCCAATCACCAAGAGATGGTGAGTTCTAGTCCTGTTTTAGGCATGAAAGCCGATTGGGAGACTTTGGGCCAATTACCAGGAGGCGGTGAGTTCTAGTCCCCCCTTAGGCATGTAAGTCGACTGGGTGACTTTGGGGCAATCACCAGGAGATGGTGAGTTCTAGTCCTGTCTTAGTTATTATGGGTGACTTTGGGCAAATCACCAGGAAATGGTGAGTTCTGTTTTAGGCATGAAAGCCGATTGGGAGATTTTGGGCTGATTACCAGGAGGCGGTGAGTTCTAGTCCTGTCTTAGTCATGAAAGGCATATGAGTGACTTGGGCCAATCACCAGGAAATGGTGAGTTCTGTCTTAGGCATGAAAGCCGATTGGGAGATTTTGGGCCAATCACCAGGAGGCGGTGAGTTCTAGTCCCCCCTTAGGCATGTAAGTCGACTGGGTGACTTTGGGCCAATCACCAGGAATGGTGAGTTCTAGTCCTGTCTTAGTCATGAAAGGCATATGGGTGACTTTGGGCCAATCACCAGGAGATGGTGAATTCTAGTTCCACCTTAGGCATGAAAGCCAGATATCAAAGTCATGTGAAGTGTTACTGCTACTCTATAAGGCCTTGGGAAGGCCACACTTGGAATATTGCATCCAGTTTTGGTCGCCACTATGTCAAAAAGATGTTGAGACTCTAGAAAGAGTGCAGAGAAGAGCAACAAAGTTGATTAGGGGACTGGAGGCAAAAACATACCAAGAATGGTTGCTGGAACTGGGTATGTCTAGTTTCATGAAAAGAAGGACTAGGGGTGACAGGATAGCAGTCTTCCAATATTTGAAGGGCTGCCACAAAGAAGATTTGGGGGTCAAGCTATTCTCCAAAGCACCTGAAGGCAGAAGAAGCAACGGATGGAAACGAATCAAGGAGAGAAGCAACCTAGAACTAAGGAGAAATTTCCCAATAGTTGGAACAATTGATCAGTGGAACGACTTGCCTCCAGAAGTTGTGAATGCTCCAACACTGGACATTTTTAAGAAGAGATTGGACAACTATTTGTCTGAAATAGTATAGGGTTTCCTGCTTGAGCAGGGGGTTGGACTAGAAGACCTCCGAGGTCCCTTCCAACCCTTGATATTGTTATTCATGAGGTTAGATAGCTCTAGCTCCCTCAACTATTCATCATATGATTTAGCCTCCAAACCCTTCATCATCTTTGTTGCTCTTCTCTGCACCCTTTCCAGAGTCTCATCATCTTTTCTGTACCACGGTGACCAGAACTGGATACGCTATTCCAATATCCTAGTGAGGTGTATAGCAGTCTCTCTCTTTTTCAAAATTCACAGAAGGGTTCATGCTTTTCCACCAGGTGCTCAACGACCCAGGAGAAGGAAGTCATGGAGCAACACTGTGCCACCTGCGATGTATTTGATGCGCTTTCGGTGACTACGAATGAAGAAACAGCCAGTTCTCCATCATCAAATGTCTATTAAAGACAGCAGCTTTTTTTTTTTTTTTTAAAAAGTTCATTAAATAAGAAATCACATCGTTGGGTGACTTTAATTCGACTCTTTTGAATTTCTGAAAGCGCTCAAGACTCAAGGCTTGTGCAGACATTTAGCAAAATATCCAAAATCCCGCTTCCTAATGCAATGTTTGTGGCAATTAGCATTAAATTTAGCATCTGTACGGCAAAAATTTTTTCCACTTATTGTATGGAAGAGGTTGCAAAGCTCTGGGGTGGGAGGAGTCAGGTTTTGCCCATCCCACTATATATATATATTTTTTTGCTTTAATTTATATGCCGCCCTTCTCCGGAGACTCAGGGCGGCTTACAATGCGCTAAGCAATAGCCTTCATACTTTTGTATATTTATACAAAGTCAGCTTATTGCCCCCACAAACTGGGTCCTCATTTCACCTACCTTAGAAAGGATGGAAGGCTGAGTCGACCTTGAGCCTGGTGAGATTGCAGTAATTGCAAGCAGTAGATATTAATAACAGTGCTTTAGTCCACTGTACTATCAGGCTCTTCACTTGCTCCAGCAGAGGAGGCCTCCTGAAACACAGGCATTCAAGATAGATGTGCTTGTCTATATAGGCTTATACTTACGATCACAATCGAGGCCCCAATTTCTGTGGTTAGGCGAGACATTTAAGCGAGTTTTGCCGTTTTCTTGCCACCGTTGTAAAAGTCACCGCAGTTGATAAGTAGGTAACCTGGTTGATAAGTGAATCTGGCTTCCCCATTGACTTTGCTCGTCAGAAGGTCAGATACAGATTAACAGAGTTGGAAGGGAGCTTGTAGGTCATCTAGTCCAACCCCCTGCCCAAGAAAGACCCTACAGCATTTCTGACTGATGGCTGTCCAGTCTTTTCTTGAAAGCCTCCAGGGATGAAGCTCCCACAACTTCCGAAGGCAACTTCTGTTCCATTGGTTGATGGTTCTCACTGTCAGAAAATTTCTCCTTATTTCCAGGTTGAATCTCTCCTTGATCAGTTTCCATTAATTATTCCTTGTCTGGCCTTCGGGTGCTTTGGAGAATAACTTGACCCCCTCCTCTTTGTGGCAGCCCCTCAAATATTGGAAGATGCTCTCCTGTCTCCCCTGGTCCTTCTCTTCACTAGACTAGCCAGGCCCAGTTCCTGCAACCGTTCATCCTATGTTTTAGCCTCCAGTCCCCTCATCATCTTGGTTGCTCTTCTCTGCACTTTTTCCAGAGTCTCCACATCTTTTTTATAGTGTGGTGACCAAAACTGGATGCAGTACTCTAGGTGTGGTCCTACTAAGGTCGCAAATGGGGATCGTGTGACTTTGGGACACAGCAATGGTCATCATTTATGCATATAAATTGCATAAATAAATAAAATAAATAAATCAGTATGAACCGACTGCCAAGCGTCTGGATTTGGATCACGTGATCATGGGGATGCTGCAAGTCATAACTGCAAAACGGTCACAAGTCGTATTTTTCAGTGCTGTTATAACCTTGGTCACTAAATGAACTGTTGTAAATTGAGGGCTACCTCTGTGCGTATGAAGTGGAGATGCAGTGTCACAAGTGAAGCGCCGCCCGTTCTGAACGCACCTATACAAAATGGCTGTGAAGTCGCACCATCTTGCAAAATTTGACCCTCTGATGGATACCATGAAAAGAAGCCGCCTATCAAATCGTTAAAACTGTTCCCCCCCCCCCCGTTTTTTTAACTTCCTTCCTGTCCTTCGAAAAAAAATAGGAATTCTCATGGAAGATGAGCAACTAAGTTGAAGAAAGTTTAAAGATTGCAGGAGGTGACTCTCAAGGACCACATTGATACAAGCACTGGAGTAACCAGGTCCACCCAAGCCATTAATTCAAAATCAGAGAGAGATCTGTGACCTGTTAAAAAGTTTTTTCTAGATCCCCAAATGCTCCAAGGTCATCTAAGAATAGTTCAAAACTGACATCCCTAAAACAACAATATTCAAATTCGTTTTCCTTGGTGCTCTCTGAGCTTGGTGGTTTTCTTGCAAATGTTTCATGACCCAACTAGGTAACATCATTGTATTTATTTATTTTATTTTTTTAAATTTATATACCGCCCTTCTCCCTGAGGACTCAGGGCAGTGTACAGCCAGAATTAAAAAACATAAAATACAAATATTAAAAAACAATTAAAATATATATAAATTTGGCCCAAAATTAAAAAAACAAACCAATTAAAACATTTAAAATTTCTTCCTAAGCCAGCTCGGCTTGCTGGAAAAGATGGGTTTTCAGGGAACGACGAAAGGCATTGAGGTCTTGGATTCTCCTTATCTCTGGGGGCAACTGATTCCAGAGGGTGGGTGCCCCCACAGAGAAGGCCCTCCCCCTGGGGGTCACCAGCCTACATTGTTTGGCTGATGGCACCCTGAGGAGGCCCTCTCTGTGGGAGCGCACGGGTCGATGGGAGGTCGTCGGTAGCAGCAGGCGGTCTCGAAGATAGCTAGGCCTGATGCCATGGAGCGCTTTAAAGGTGGTAACCAACACCTTGAAGCGCACCCGGAAGACCACTGGGAGCCAGTGCAGCTCGCGCAGGAGCGGTGTTACATGGGAGCGCCAAGCTGCTCCCGTCACTACCTGCGCTGCTGCGTTCTGGACCACTTGGAGCCTCCGAGTGCTCTTCAAGGGGAGCCCCATGTAGAGAGCATTGCAGTAGTCAAGGCGAGAGGTGACGAGGGCATGAGTGACTGTACACAGGGAATCCCGATCAAGAAAGGGCCGCAACTGGTGAATCAGGCGAACCTGACAAAAGGTCCCCCTGGTTACAGCCGTCAGATGTTCCTCCAAGGACAGCTGCGTATCCAGGAGGACTCCCAGATTGCGAGCCCTTTCTGTGGGGGCCAATGACTCGCCCACAATAGTCAGTGATGGAGTCAACTGACTATATCGGGATGCCGGGAACCACAGCCACTCAGTCTTGGAAGGGTTGAGCTTGAGCCTGTTCCTCCCCATCCAGATCCGCACAGCCTCCAGGCACTGGGACATCACTTCAAGGGCATCATTGGGGTGGCCTGGGGTGGAGATGTATGAGCCTTGGTGGCGCAGCAGACTAAAGCACTGTTAAGTAACACCAGCTGCCTGCAATTACTGCAAGTTCAAATCTCACCAGGCTCAAGCCTTCCATCCTTCCGAGGTAGGTAAAATGAGGACCTGGATTGTGGGGGCAATAAAATGACTTTGTATAAAAAAAAGAACAGCGCTTAGGGGGGCCGAAAGCCCTACTAAGCAGGTATATACCAAAGTATGAAGGCTATTGCTTAACGCATTGCAAGCCACCCTGAGTCTCTGGAAAAGGCAGCATATAAATCAAATCAATCAATAAATAAATCATCAGTGCTGTATCATAATGAGACCAAACCCACTTCCCTTTTACCACTGATGGTAGCCAGTTGGGTAACAAAACATCCGCAGGAAAACCACCAAATTCAGACAGCACCAAGAAGCCCAGTTTTCCTTCTTCTCTTCCACCTCCGCCTCCTTGCACTGATGATGTTATTTAGCTGGGCTGTGAAACGTCTTCAAGAAAATAACCAAGCTCAGAGAGCCACCAAGGAGCCTTAAGTTCGACTGTGAGCTATACAGATATTATTTTCTATCGGGTGTCTTTTCTAAATCAGCCAAATAGTACACATCCACACACGTGCAGGAACACTATATTTATTAAGTCAATAGTTCATTTTAGCAATACAATTACAGAATATCACAATGTTGGTTACAAACATACTCAGGATGGTTTGATGTGTACAAAGAATAAAATTCAAGCACGGCGGTCTGGCGTGATATCAGATACAAAAGAGGGACATGGCATGGCCAAGGATGATCAAAAACGCCTTCATATTAAGGAACAGTGGCACAGAAAAGATGACGGGATTTGGATTTAAGAGACAGTGGGTGGTTTGACTCAGCATTCGGCTGGTTCGTTTCCAACAACGCTGCTGATAAGACAGTTTCTGCTTAATATATGTACATATTTTAATCCCCTTGTTAAGATCCATGGAGTATTAAAAAATAAACGAGTTACTGAAACTGGTAATATTTAAATAAAAAATAAAAGCTCATCCAACCCCCTCCACCCCAAGAAATAACGCTAAAGTTTTTTTCCTCTGTTTTAAAATCTTATTTTCATGGCAACATAGCTCATATCAAGGAATATGCATACAAAGGAAGCTGTGAGATGGTTACACACATGGTACCTGGTGAGGGTTAGTGACCCAACACTGAAAAAAAAAAACCTGGATGTCAAAAACACCAAGTTTCTAGATATCTCTATATATTTATATAGCATATATATTTTTTCCATCTTATTTTTTTTTCTTCTTCTTTTAATGTCTTCAAACCAAAGAAATCTGCACTTAAAAACAACGCACTAAGGCCGCTTCATGCGATTAAGATACCTACAAATTGCCGTGATAGTACTGTATTTGCTAAAGAGAATCCGGAAATTGGGGTTTTCACGGGAAAAAGGGAGGTGGGCTTCGCTGCCTTAAAAAACATTCCTGAGTTTGGGGAGGGGAGACAAAAACGCATGGAGCCTTTTCGCATGTCCAAAAGGAACCCTAACTGCAAAAACCCACCTTCGCCACATGACCATCTCCTTCCATCCCTTCTCTACAATGCAACAGGACAAAAGGAGCCAAGATTTATTACCTTCCAAGAGACAAACCCTGCCACAGGATCAAACGTGTGTCAAAACCCAAAACCAACAAAAGTTAAAAAAGAAAAAGAAACAGCCGTTAACAAGCAAAACAGACATTGCTATTCAGGCTTGAATGTTGAAGCCAAGGAACATGACAGCAAATTTATCTTATCTCGGTTCCTCTCCTCCGTAATGGGCCAGCTTTGACCACAAGGCAAAAAAATTCTTCAGCATCTAACTGGGTGCTGGTTTTTGTTTTGTTTTTTTCAAACTGGGAGTGATGGGAACGGTGGTCCAATCCACGCGGAAGGCACCAAGTTTGGAGTGGCGTCAGTGTCCGAAAAGAAGGCACGA